TAATATATATATATATATATATATATATATATATATTTTTTTTTTTTTTTTTAAATAAATTTATTTATTTATTTTTGGCTGCATTGGGTCTTTGTTGCTGCACGTGGGCTTTCTCTAGTTGTGGCAAGTGGGGGCTACTCTGCATTGCGGTGCACGGGCTTCTCATTGCAGTGGCTTCTCTTGTTGCGGAGCATGGGCTCTAGGTGCATAGGCTTCAGTAGTTGTGGCTCCCGGGCTCTAGAGCACAGGCTCAGTAGTTGTGGCGCACAGGATTAGTTGCTCTGTGGCATGTGGGATCTTCCCAGACCAGGGCTCGAACCTGTGTCCCCTGCATTGGCAGGCGGATTCTTAACCACTGCGCCACCAGGGAAGCCCTAAAATATTTTTAAATTTACAATAATTTAAGCAAAATGATACTTGCATAAAAATAGATCAGTGTAACCAAATAGAGAATTCAGAAATATTATCTAATACAGTGGTTCTCAATTTTTTTGGTCTAGAGCCCATTTACACTTTTTTTTAATTGAATAAATTTGATGTGTAACATTCTTTACCCTCTTAAAAAGTGACTGAGGGCTTCCAAAGACTGAGACATTTAAGAACATTTATTATTTCAAGTAAAAAGAACCCATTACATGGAAATACAAATATTTTTTATGATGAAGAACTATATTTTCCAAAACAAAAAAAATTGTGACAAGACTGATATGTTTACATTTTTGCAAATCTCTTTAATATCTGGTTTAAGAAGACACTGTTTTTTGTTTGAAGTATATGAAGAAAATCCAGTTCCCCGTACTAGTTGGAAAAGAGTATATTTCAACAGCTTTTTCAGATAATTGTGGATATTCTTCTTTGATACTAAAATAAAACTTGACAAAGGGTAGTTTCTTAAAAATAAGAGTTGCGGGCTTCCCTGGTGGCGCAGTGGTCGAGAGTCCACCTGCCGATGCAGGGGACACGGGTTCGTGTCCCGGTCCGGGAAGATCCCACATGCCGCAGAGCGGCTGGGCCCGTGAGCCATGGCTGTTGAGCCTGGCGTCCGGGGCCTGTGCTCCGCAACGGGAGAGGCCACAACAGTGAGAGGCCCGTGTACCGCAAAAAAAAAAACAAAAAAAACCATAAGAGTTGCAATGTACAATCTGAAACTGTCAAGGAACTTTTCATACTCCATTACCATAAAATCCATTTGCCTATCTTACACACTGAGTGAACCTTTTACTTGTGCATAATTTTGAACTTTCAGATTACTTAAAAGGTTCTGGGAAACCTTTATGCATACCTGGGTCACATTTTTGAAAACCGTTGCCCTAGTATAAATAACATTGTGGTATATAATAACTGTGGCAGTGAACAAATAAAGGCTGGGGCAATCATGGGGGAGAAGCAGATTCTTACCCCATATTTTACATAGAAATATACTTCAAATAAGTTGAGGAATTATCTACTTTAAAAATAAAAAGAAACCACAAAAATAGTACAGGAAAATAGAGGTGACCAGTGGTGTGCAGGTAAATGTTTAACAGTTAGCTCCTCAGAGAAAAAAGACTGATTTGTAGTGCTTGCCAATTTCTATGGTGCAAAAATTCCCACCATGGTCAATTTCAAACTGTGAAGGTGATGGATCTCACTAAATGCAAAGTTAGAAAGAGATGTGTACCATCAGCTCTTGTGAGCCAGTACAAGCACACTACTGGGGGTGATTTTCTGAATTCTTTTGGGGTAGAATTTTCTAATCATAAAGCAATGGAAGAAACCTCAAAATAATAAGATTATGGGTTTTACCACACATAAAATTTTAACCTCAAGATAACCAAAACAAAATTAAAAGGCAAATTAGAAGTTCTGCTTCCAGTAATAGCAGAGTAGCTTGTATTGAACTAATCTTCTTGCCTATAACAGTTAGAGACTCTGAATAAAACATTGAAAACAAAACAAAACAAAACAGAACTCTTTGAAAGCACTGGAAAGAAATCAGAAGTAGGCAGAAACTAGACAGGATAAGACTCTTGAAAGAAGGAAAGCAGTTCATCCTCGCCCCTTCCTGATCATTTGGGAGAGCAAAGCAAGGTAGGTGTCTCAGTCTGGTGGGAAGGGAGAAGGCACAGTGGCCCATAGCAGGATGTTAGGGCCAGAGCATCAAGAGAAGGGTCGACCAAGTAAGAGGGATTGAGATATCAGAGATACCAGTAAGAGATCAGAGCTTTGGGAAGGGGCCTCCCAGTATGAAGTGTCAGAGACTGAGTGGCATAGTGCAGGGTGTAAGAGCCCATATGCAGAAAGAGAAGACAGCAGAGATGGGGGAATGATTATACACAGAGAGGACATGTATTAAGGGTAATGGGAGCCAGGTTTTTAACTTTCAGAGACAAGCATTACAAATAAGGCAAGGGAGGAAAAGAATAAACTCGGTAGTGTTGGATCAGAATTGGAGGTAAAGGTGAAAAATCATATATAAATCGATATGGAAATAAATATAGATGAAAATGTGTGTATGTATGTGAATAAACACCAAAGATTCATAATCTTACCCTAATTACAAGAAACATTCAGACAAATTCAGTTTGTCCGCTATTCTATAAAATAACTGGATGGTAATATTCAATAGTGTTCAAGGTCAACAAGGCAAAAAACGATTGAAGAACCATTCCAGACTGAAGGAGACTAAAGATACCTGACAACACATGATTTTGAACTGGATTATTCCTCTATACAGGATATTATAGAGGAAAAATAAGTGAAACTTGAATGGGGTCCGAAGATGGATACAATGAGTGAAGAGATTAAAGGTCCAAGAGAAATATGTAAATTATATATATATTTTTAAAAAC